AGTTCTAATAAAAAATAATATATATATATATATATATATATATATATATATAATTATTATTTAAAAATGCTCGTTGTCTGAAATGGAACAAATTATTTCAGTATCCAGTCGTGTTTGGAAAGACGAAGAATTATAATCCTGAATGTTACAAAGTACTCGAAGGTGCGTTTGACGTTCTGAATAAATTTCTGGATGGGCAAGATTATGCCGCTGGACGCAATTTAACTATCGCTGATCTCGCTTTAGCTGCCACTGTATCGACGGCAGAGGTATTAGGAAGCTATGTTTAAAAATTAAATATTAATTCGGAAATTAAATAATAGCTATTGATCATAGATTTTCGGTTTCCAAGTGGAGAGATATATTAACGTTGATAAATGGATGAACAGGATAAAATCATTCGCACCGGGTTATCGTAGAGCTAATGGGGAAGGATTAGAAATATTAAAGAAATTGATTGAAGATTTTAAAAAGGGCTAATGTATATAAATATTTGTGGTATTAATTTGTATAGAATAAATTTAATGATTAAAATTCAATAATAAATTGTCTTTTTCTTTGGATATTGCGTCTAAACGTGATCACGCGCCAAGAGCAAGCATAGAGAGAGCAAATAGTGGGAGAAGGACAGAGATAGGGTAAAAATTCGAAATCAACGCCATCTCTAGAATGCCGAAAATAAAACTCGATACACAAAGACAGAAAATAATAGGAGAAGGATAGAGATAGAATAAGAATTGATTTTCAACGCCATCTCTCGATTTGCCCAAGATATCATTTCATTGTCTTTCTGCAAAATAAGATAGGTAACAGAATAAGAATTTAAGATCAGCGCTATCTTTTAAAATTTTTAGAAACATGTTTTTTAAAGAGATATCATTACATTCGAGATGTCAATGACGCTGATAGTCAATTCTTATCTTTCTTATCCTCTTTTCTGTCCTTGTACATTGAGTTCCATTTGCTACATTCAGGAAATAACATTAATTCCCACATTTTTACTCTATTTCTATCTTTCTCTTATTATTTTATTTCCCTCGTTTATATCCATTTTGTAAAATTTATTCGCTTAAAAGATATTAACTTTGATATTTGATTAATTTTATTGTCGTCTTTATTGATTAAATTATTGATTAAAAACTATAAGAAAATCCATTCAATCTAATTTTATATATCTTATATATTTTATTTTTATATATTTATA